CTATGTATGGAAAGATGTGGTGCGTCATTTGTGTTGTTAAGTTTATTATTAGGTTATTTGTTTTTACAATTACTATTTAAAAGAATGTCTTAGGACTTCCAATCACTAGCGTCTTTCAGAGAACGATATTTCAATTCATTGAAAAGTTTACGGGCGGTATTTTTCTCTAATGTTTTCCAACGGGTTGTGTAGTCTTTTTTTATTCTATTTCCTTTAGCTAATATCCGTTCCAGATGTTTCCTGAAACATTTATTTTTTTAACTAGATTTAGTTTGAGATTTGATTTGGCATAGTTTTGAACTAAAGAGGTGCGTATTATCATGTCTACGTCTTATATCTTTAAAATTATGTGTCATAAATTGACATTTGTATTTAAATCATTTTAATGGATAAAAAAATTCACACAAAATCATGTACAACGATTGTAAAGCAAATATTTCAATATACTACTTACAGATTTTTAAATGACAATGTTTAGTATCGAAGTTTTTTGTGTGTCTTTTAATTTTTCATTTATATGTCGAGTATTGAAACTTCCGCCAATGCTTCAGAATGACTTTTTATTGACAATCAGATTTGCAACCAATTACAAAAACTAAGACATTTTGTTAAGACGTATATAAGCATACGTTTTCTAAAGATTCCATATAACAGTATTGGTTTTTATATCGATAAGTTTCAATTTCTGTACTATTTAAGAGTACACCAATGAGCATAATGATTCGAATCATTTGAAAAATGTACATATCACTTTTCGCCAGGCCTACTATTAGCTCTTTCCACAACACCCTCTGGAGCGTAAACAGTATAATCATACTTGGAGAAATCAGTATCTTTTACACTTCCAACGAACACGATTCTTGATGATTCCTCCCGAATTTTTCTATCTCTATGTAAACCATGCAATGCATTATGAGCTATTTTACACTACAGTGACCTGTCATGTAATTCAATTTCTAGTAGGACAGCAGAATGCAAACATCTGTAATATTTGTATTTTATAATATCACCGATCTCCACGTTTCCATTTGATTTGATAGGTTGTTTTGCAACGTTTAATAAATTTTTATTTCTTTCGAAACACGGTGCACAGAGCATTCAATTTTCATATTCAATTTTATTTCGAAGAACTTCGTCGCCGTAACCTTGAAATACTCGATTTCCAAAAGTCGCATTACCATTCTTATCTTTCGAACTTGCAAGCTAAGACTCCCTCCTTAACTCAACATGTTGTAAAATGCTCGCGGTTATCATTTACCAATTTGTATTGGAAATCAGGGTGACTGCTCTATTGACGATCTCTTCGGGGAAAGAAAGTTTGATTTTGTCCAAATATTTATGAACAATCATTTTAATATTATTTAAATTTATTTGTTTCGTTTCGTTTAATAGTTTTGTTACCAAATAGCCGCATGGAACCATATATATTGCACCAGCTGTCGTGTTTAGTGCATATACAAATTTTACGACTATTTTATGATCTTTCTGCTATGAAGGTTTTACATCTACTATGATTGCATGGTAATCATATGTTCGCCCATGGAGTGTGAAATGATCTCCTCTATTTATTTCTTCTCTTTTTAAAACCCGTATGGGTTTTACACATACAATGCATGCAACAGGTTTTGTCTTTAGTTTTTTTTTTTCTAACATCAAGATCATCATGATTTTCCTTAATGTTTTCTATTTCTTTAGATTCGTCAATTTCTGGATCGTCTGTAATTTAATCATCAGCAGCTATCTTCATATAACCAGGTTTTTCGGTTGCTGGGTTAAATGTTTCACTATTTGTTCATACGGAGGTCTTTGTAGGTAAGTCTGACTGAGAGCGTTATCATATCCAGTCCATTTCGTATTGCATTTGAACTTTTTCCTCTTCCTGAAAAAGAAAAATGTGATATCCACAATTAATAAGAAGCTATTACGAACCACACAAATAAGAGATAAAAAATGTACTTTATGCTAACATACTCGATGCTTTTTTATTTATTAAAGTCATGCTGTAATTCAATTTTCTCCTAGATTCTTTCTACATTTGTCGCAAAGCAGGTAAAAATAAAAATAGAAAACGATACAAATTAAGAAAGAGTCTCATCCCATTTTGACCATTCAAGTAATATTCTTGTCTTCTCATGCATGTCTCATATGATGTAATTTGACATGATATGTTGAATATAGAGTAGCATTTCTCATCTTTTCCGGTTTCCTTTTTTTCTGAGAATGTATGATGAAATCTTAGCTCTTGCCACAAAATACCTAATTTTGGTTTTGAAATTTGTTATTTTTTGATACAATCTTTCAAGCAGAGTTTTCCGAATTCCTACTTTCGGACATTTTATAATTAAGTCTTCCTCGACATACTAATATCTGGTTTTGAAATTTTGTCAGTTTCCTTATACAATCATGTTTGATATGTTTCAAAAAGAGTTATAGTGTATTAAAATTATGCTTCAATAATAAGATAAATATTAAAATTTCCAAACTCCAAAGTAAATTAAAAAAAGAGGAAGCCCATACAAACTGACAATGCAAACGCTATCAACCAACGGAACGAGTGAAAAACAACTGTCAAATTCCAGACTTGTTACAGGCAGTTTACGAATAAAATAGTGGGTTAAACCCTGGCTAGCTTAACCTCTGACTTGTATGACAGTTGTTGTTCAGGTTAAGAAATGTTCTTTTACATTTAGAAATTTTACCATTTTACATGTTTTATCTATTTAATTTGGGGATGATTTTATTATAAATTAAATTATTGGTGGATTCTTTACGTCAAGTTTGAAATATCAAATGTTCACGGTAGTCAGGACGATAAATTCTGAAATTAATCCAATACATTGTATTACTTAATCTTTATTTTTTTTAAAGTCTAAAAGTTCGGACCAATCAGGTTGCTTTACCTGGATTTTATATGCTAAAATATACATACAACATGTTTAATCCCGCCACATTCTTTATGTGCCTGTCCCATGTCAGGAGCCTGTAGTTCAGTGGTTGTCGTTGTTTCATGTCTGTCATACTTGTTTTTCGTAAACTGTTTTGTTATAAATTAGGCAGTTAGTTTTCTCAATTGAATTGTTTCATATTTTTTATGTCGGGGCCTTTTATAGCCGACCATACAGTATGGGTTTTTCTTATTGTTGAAGGCCGTAATTGCTTACATCCACTTCGTTTGAACTTTAGTGGATAGTTGTCTCAACGGCAATCATACAACATCTCCTTTTTTTTATATAGAATCAATTTGATTGAAATACAGATCAAGCGTAGAAGCTTCGCTTACAACGTTAACCACCTGACAACGCTTCTTTCTACTTTCTGTTTTAAAGACAATTCGGGGTCCTCTTGGTTTTGTCGTTATGAAATACACCATCAAAATTTGGAGGCAGAAATTTATTGGCTGATGCTAAATTACAAGAACAGACAGTAGAACGGAGTGTATGCAGGATCCGTGTAAGCAGCGGCTGCATATGGAGTATGTGTCTCACAGTTGATATGGTATTCATGAGTTTGCGTTTCCTATCATAATTTCCTGCTTTCAAAGAATATTTTGATTCATCGATTCCAATTGTTAAAGTTGAAGTCATTCCTTCGAAAGTCTTACGAACGCCATCATAAGTAGGTTGACCGTTATGGACCATCCGTTTCACAGATTACAATGGATTTATTCCGATTGTCGTAAGGACAATTCCGTCTTCTGTTCCTCAGTTGTGACAATACTGAATTAGTCTTATCATCTAATTTTTATTTACCATTACCAACATAACGGGTGACTGGTGCCACTAATTGTGTGTGATCTGCTCACCCTTCCGGAACAGCTGATATACCCAAATTTTTAATGGGTTTCGTTTTTCAGATTGTTGTATGTGTTTTGTGGGCTTGTTTGTTTTTTCGTTGTCTTTCGTTTTTTACCATGACCTTGTGAGTTTCTCAACGACTTATGATTTTCAATTTCCACTTTATATATTCCGCCCTTTTTTAAAAATATGTTTCGGAAGATATCATCTGAAAACTTAAATAAATTTGCTATATCAGTTTCTTAAGAAAAAAAATTATAATATGTTTTTAAATGTTAATACAAACATCCCTTTAATTTAACTATTATAAACATTTTTTAGATTCAAATTCAACAGTATATCATAAACAAAAATTATAGCTACATTTAATAAAACTTTCGCCTGCAGGAAATCAACATGACTTAAAAAAATAACAATTAACATGACTGATTTTCATATTAGAAACTGAGCCATTTTATAATTTTCTAAAAACATGAAGTCACGGTATATTTTAACGATAGAATGTTTCTGCTCCCAACTTTTATTATTTCGAATGATCAAAATCCATAGCTTTGTTTGCTGAACAAATTCATCTGTTGAGAGAGCATTGACTTGTTTTTATTCTGTTTGACATCTTACATTATTCAAGTTAATATACTACAAATGGCGTCCTATAAACTGACCCAATAACCAACTTCAATTGTAGACACTACAAACTCTGTCAATGTGCTCCCTACTTTAGCTGTCGAGACACTGATGTTTTTATTATAATTTAAATCGAACGCTAAAAGTCTCTCCATTTTTGTTGCTGGATTCCAGTCCCACCAATATAAACCACAAATCTCCTTATATGAAACATACTAGGTTGTTGCAAGTTTTGTAGTTAATGTAATATTTCTTGGGCAGTGCGAGGGAGCAATTATCTCCATGGAAGTGATGTGCGAATGCTTAATCAATCGCATACCAAATATCATTTCACTTCATCAAGGTCAAGCTTTGAATATTTGTTTTCGTTTTTTTTTCATTCTTATATTTATGTATTAAATGATGAAATCTTATTATATTTCAAATTTGAGATAAATCTTTTGAGACATAAAAATTTATTAGCATTTTCATTTGGTCCTGTCAGTGTCCTGTCATCATCCTGTCATCGATCCAGCCATAAGTGGAACCCAACATTTGCGGAGGTAAGCAAAGAAAGACAACTCCTGCGTAATGAAGATAACGCAACGATAAAAAAATATTCATTTATCTCCAAATTGACTTATAACTTTTTATAAAAAAAACAATACTCCACATTTTGTAAGAATAGTTTGAGACCTACCTTAAAGCCATCTAACTACAATTAATATAGAATTGTATACTGGTCCTTGACGTCTTCAAAAATCTTCAAAAATCCGACGCCGTAAAAAGTTAATTTCATGAAAATTTTGTCAAATATTAAACACTAACCAATTGAAGTATTACAGTATTTTTGATAACCACTTTCCTTATCAATGGATAACTATTAATTTTCTCACGTTAAGAAGATAGATGAAATATATTGACAAAAAGTGACGGTTACTGGTCCTCGACCAGTAGGGTTACGTATTGTGTGAAGTACATAACTGTTTTTGTTATTAAACTTATAGTTCAGTAATTTAAAAATGGATCAACCAAATACAATTGAAGAACAGTGTAAAAAGAAATAAAATGCATACAACTATTGTTATATCCGTAAATTGTTCCGGGCAGGTTGTATTTGTAATAATATATAATAAAACTCTGATCGTTTCTAAAACTGTCATTGAAATGACATTCCAGTCCTTTTCACAAAGTGTTTATAAACTTTCTGACGATTGAACAAAGTACTGAATTGACTTTGATAATTGCTGTGTCTTGTTGTTATTCTTCATTTGCTTGTCTTTGACGTTATTCAGCAGCTTTTAAGCAAATGTTCCTTATTGGGCTTGCCTCATACCAGTTTTAACTGCATTCAGATATTTTCTGCTATGGTCATCAAAAGTGGTATATATTAACATACACGTTGTTTTTGTCTGCATATTTTTCGAAGCATAATTCACCTACAAAGCAAAAATTGCCTGGAATGTCAAATCTATTCAGTAATATAACAATACGATGTGTGTATCGAAAGAACAACAGCCGTTACATGCAATATTTAAATTTAGAATAAATCATTGCAATTCCTGACTTACGATAGTCCATTATACAACATGAAAGAATTAAATTTCAAAAGATTAACATTTCAACTGTTGTAAAGGAGGATGTCTGATAAAAACCCATGAAATTAAAATATAGTCAAATGTTAATCCTTTTGACATTATGGTAATTTCATTGATAAATAGATCTAAAATATAAACCATATGAATGAAAAGAAAAGTAGTGACATCTTCAGATATTCATGTTTTCTTCATCTATAGTGTTATCTGTCCATACAGATATGCCAAACTCTAAATCTCACTTGAATATTCATTTCTCGCGTATCAGCATCATTGTGGCAAGTTATTGGTGGCATAAGCATGTTGCTGGTGTCGAAATATTAGTGCGTAGTCCGAGATAGCTCTGACAGCCTTTTTGGACTTTTTGATTTGTTTTACAGATGGGTAGAATGAAAAGTACATATGTGTGAAAAAGGATGATTTATCTGCTTGACAACGGATTAATTACGATATATCTGAAGGATGTCCGCTACTCTGTTTCAAAATAACAAGCTTTTTAAACGACTGTTATAAATTGAAAGTATCTGAATAAAGAAACTAAAAAAGCAGAAAAAAATGGAAAGGTCCGTGTGCTTGTTTTCCAGATATAAGCCATTAACAATTTTGTGGAAAATGATTTTCTCTAGATTTTTCATACATTTAACATTGGCGCCTATTTTCTTTCAAAAACTATGAAAAAATAATAAGAATTTTATAAGATTTTCAAATAAGGCTTTTTAAACTATATGTAATAAAATAATGAAAAGAAAAGTAGGGGTAAGCGGTCAAAATATTTATTATTTACATGGATTAAACCAGAGGACTCTGAATATCTGACAAAAATTCAAAAACAAGAGGAGCGAATACCCTAAATGTCTGACCAACTTAAACCTTTAAAAATGGATATTTGATTAGATGAATGTTTTTTTTTTCATAAAATACTTACTATGATTTGTCGAAACAGCACATGACACTTTCATGAAGTATTAAAATTGTTACTTCAGTTTGGTTTTTTTAGCATTTACGTGGCTTTGGTTATGCGTATATGGTTGTGTTGTCGTTTGTCGTTTGAAATTTTAGAAGAATATAGTTTGACATAAGAACATGTTAAAGATACAGAGATTAAACTTTGGTTTGTTTTCAGATGACGCTTTTTATAATTTAAGTGAGGTAACATAAATCTATTCCGTCATCAATTGTTAAAATGGACGGGTATGTATATGGGTCTCTGGATTCGTATTCTTATAATGAATAAGTACTGTACTGTAGCCGTATAAACCCTTGGTTGGCATTTAAATAAGATTAACATTGACATTTTATTCAATGCAGTAATAGTTAATTTTGCACAACATTATCTATTCTAGAACTTATGATTCGATTTGTATATTTCGTATGTTCGAACGATAAAAAAATATCTTCAGTCCGATGCTCTTAAAAAACCACTTTCTATGAAACCTACTGAACTAAAAGCTCCAAGTAGTCTATATCCCATAGCTGGTAGTAAGGGAAATATGTCATATAAGGAGTCGATGACTGCTTTTAGTATTTTTTGCCGTGTTTGTATATCTTGAAACGCTGATTATCGTTGTTGCTGTATATATTTCTGTCTCTCGATAATAGTTTTCAAGGTAGAGACAAAAACCGCATCAACTGTGTTAAACGTCATCATCTAAAGTGAATAACTGAACAAATAGCTGATACATGGTTTCAGTTATTGAGCATAAAAATGTATACCACAAATACCAAATTCCAAGGTAAATTCAAAAAAGGGAAGTCAATAAAAACTGACAAATTCAAGAATTATAAATTCCACAGTTACAAGTTACTAGTTGAAAATTTACGAAGTAAGCATTTTGAAATTACACAGATGACAATTTACGAATTTAGAATTTTTACCCGTTGGCTTTCAATATGGATTAGGGTCGTAATTTATATACAAAGTGTTTAACTTTGCTGCATGTGATTCGAATTTATTGTTAGTTTTTTCTTTAACCTGTCTTACCTAGCTATGTATATAAAGAAGTGCTGGTGTGACTGTTTCTCTGGAAAATGCAGCCAGTAGAAAAATAAATTGGAATTGATATCCATACATAAGGATTTTTGTTTGCATGGCAACATTTTAAAGTTATTTTCCACAAAACTTCTATAACCTGTTATTATCTTCGTTTGTTATATTTTGAGTAAATAGGAAAAAATTAGATGAAAACTTTTTTACTGTTATCTTTGTCTATTATTAGTAATCAATGAACGTTTTCTTGCGAACTTCAAGATCAAATCACTAGCCTTCTTGAGGAAATCCTTGGTACAAAAAACATTGTTACATCTGGAAGGGCATTAAATTTTCTCCAAAGTTTTCTAACGATTAGTGTCGTATATTGTGTTCTTATCACTAAAACTTATATTCTTCTCCACATTTTACTACATCACTCAGTTGCCTATGATTTCAAATTTGATTAAGTCAAGTCTAGATTTGATATGGATATAGTTTTGAAGTAAAGTAGAGCGTGATTTTAATTCTATGTTGAAATATTTAAAGTTATAAATTGAACATTTGTACTTAAATCATTCCAATGAATTAAAAATCCGCACACACTCAGGTACAAATAATTGTTAAGCAATGCTTCTTATTCACTATTGACAGATGTAAAGGATAAGTTATCCCATAGTATCAAAAATATTGTCTGTCCCTTGGTTTTAAACTGATAAGTTGGGTATTGATATTTCACCGCCTTCATTTCTTGTTGGATTTTCATGAAATTTATATCAAAGATTTATATTAGCAAAGTCTTGGAAGAGTGCAGACCAACTTTTTTACAGTAGTTATGGAAATAAAAATTATATAGAACAAAAGTGCACATACAGAAATGTCTTGCCTGCTTGTTTCTGCTTGCCAGACAGACATGTCCAGAGTCCAATCTTTCCATACACTAATTCTAGTTGACCTATTACTATAGTATCTGATAACTGGAAAAAAACATGAAAACTTAAACATTGACCAATAACCCCAGAAAATGGTCAAGGTCAGATAATCCCTGCCAGAAAGACATGTTTACCTTACAATCATTCCATAAACCAAATATGGATGGCCTATTGCTTAAAAAATGTAGTATCTGATAAACTGATAAAACCATGAAAATGAAATCACGGTCATATGAAATCTACCAGACAGACATGTGCACCTTGCAATCATTCCATACACCAAGTATAGTGGCCCTTTTCTTTTTGAATCTAAGAAAAAGACCAAACCATAAAAACTAAACAATGCTCAATAAACCATGAAATAAAGGTAAGGTCGTATAAAACCTGCTAGTCGGACATGAACACCTTTCAAGTCAGGAATATGATAGTTGTTATCCATTCGTTTGATGTGATTTTGCCATTTGATTAGGGATTTCGGTTTTGAATTTTCCTCGGAGTTCGGTATTTTTGTGAATTTACTTTTTACAATAACTCAATACACCAAATATAGTTTACCTACTTCTTAAAGTATGTGAGATACAGACTTGACAACAAACGCTCAACCTTAATTACTGATCCAGGAAATGAGGTCGAGGTCAGGTGAACCCGGTTTGATAGACATATTGACCTTGAAAGGATCCCATATGCCAAATATATTTATATTATTACTCGTAATGAGAGAAATTTCACATGACCAAACAAACATACATTTTTGTCAAGAAGTACCTGTACCATGAAAATAAGGCCCAAGGACAATTGTCATATGACAGACGGAAACTTATTAACATACGGTATCTACATACAAAGTATGAAGCATCCATGTCTTCTACCTTTTAAACTATAAAGCTTAATACAAATAGTTTACGCTGCTGTCATCGGATTGTAATCCTTATGTCTGGCATTCTGCGACTTTTGTCGCAGATCAGACACTAAAAAATTATGCGACAATCGCGACATTATGCCTACGTTTCTTAAAGGATGTTTATAAAAAAAAAAATATTTTTGCGTTATTGTCCTTAAAAATGAAATAAAATGTGCAAATTGGAATGCTGTTCTTTTATAGATTTTTTTTATTGTTTGAGGAATAACTACATTGCTGCTATCTGTGCTACTGTATCGAAATTGAAAAAAAAATTACGTACGGCCCCGTGTGCCAGGAGAGCCACACAAGTGGATGAAATGCCCATCAAAAATATTTAAACCACTAATGCATTGCAATGAGATTTTGTTGAGTTGCTGACCACTTACTGCAATATATAACCGTTAACTGCTTAACATATACGTGCACATAAGTTTAAAGGTTTGCGCCCAATACATTTCTTCTTAAGTTATGTATACCGTCATGCAATTTCCATCCATTTAAGATAAATAACTTAAACTGTCAACTACTATCTTCCATGTGACTTTTGAAGCTCTGATGCATACGTTTACCTTTGGCTATTGTGATTCACGTTGTGTGTTATCTGCCCAATTTTACAAGTTCTATTCAAAAGATTTAAATTTGTAAAGATAAATTTGAAAGTTGTGCGAAATCTGTTGGATATTTACTGATTTCATGACTTTTAAATTTAACTGTTTGTTGTTATGTTGTGTTGTTAAACCACTGTCTCCAATAATGGAAGAGTTTTGATAGTTCACAAACATGTTTGTTATGAACGTTTAATTATACTTTCATAGTTTTGTTTAGCCGCAAATATTGTTCCCGGCAAAATTGACAGTTTCCTTTTTGCGATACGAAATTCCGCCAACATGTGGCATTCGAATAACATCTTTTGTTTTCCAGTTTGTTATTAATACTACATTTCCGTAGTAACTGCATTTTACCTGCTTTATATTCCCAAATCGGTGCAAAGTCGGATGAAATTGTCCATTCCTTCAATATAATCCAATGTTTACGTTCTCGCTAGTTTTAATACACACAGTTAACCTTGACCGGTAGCGACCTATTTTCTTACACGCAAGGATAAGGCGTGCTAAGTATTATAAAAAGGGGATTTTCCGAATAGCAAAACGAATTTGAACTGATCTTTACAGAAACTTAATAGGTAAATACTTCACGCACGAAAATCACAGAAAACCGTTAAACATATTGTACTTTCATTCTTTGTAGTAATTTAAAGTTATAATAATAATTTTTATTTCTTGAAATAGTAGTTTAGTTGTTATTTTATTTAGAAAACCTGGCTAAGGTATTTCGAAAAGCTATTGAATAGAATAAATATCTAGAGTCTAAAGGTATTGAAAGAAAGATTGAGAACAATCTTTACACTGGTGGCAGCATATTGTTGGTAAGGATGGAGTTAAACCTAATCCTAAGATTATAGAAAGAGTACAATCCTGGAAAACACCTAGCAACACCAAAGAAACCCAATAGTTCCTAGGACTCTGTAATTATTATAGGCAATTCATTAAAGGATTCAGTAATATTGCAGCCCCATTGAGTCATCTGACTAGAAAAGATACCATATTTGAATGGACAGATGCAGTACAAAACAGTTTTGACCTTCTAAAGACAGCACTATGCACAACACCTGTACTTGCATATCCTAAGCCAGATGGGAAATTCATATTAGATACAGATGCTTCAAATATTGGTTTAGGAGGTGTCCTGCACCAGATACAAGATGGAAAAGAAAAAGTCATAGCTTATGCCTCTAAAAAGTTGGATAAAACCCAACAGAGATACAGTGTGACAAGAAGAGAGCTTTTGGCAATGGTGACTTTCATACACCATTTCAAACATTACTTGTTAGGCAACAAGTTGACCATCAGAACTGATCATGCTGCATTAAAATGGTTGTATTCCTTTAAAGACCCTCAAGGTCAAATAGCAAGATGGATCATAGTAAAGATACAGAGAGAAAAATAAGGGTTACAACAAGACAACAACATAATCAAAGTACAAACAAACCCTGATTAGCCAAATATACCAACCAAGAGATGGCTGTCTTCCAAAAAGAAGATGAAAACATAAAAGTTCTTCACCAATGGATAAATAGTGGATCTATACCTGATAGAGATAAGGCAGCAAGTCTGAACCCTGCTGTACGCCGTTATTGGTTAAATTGGCAGAATATAGTACGTTTGGAGGGAGTAATTTATCAAAAATGGATTTTAGACCAAAATGGTAGACACAATCTACAGCTTATAGTCCCGGCTGTTCTACAAAAGGAAATCCTGATAAATGGTCATGACACACCCTTTTCTGGACATTTAGGTGTTGCCAAGACAAAAGAAAAAATGAGACAAAATTTCACTTGGTATGGAATGGGCAAAGATGTGACATCCCACATAAAAATGTGCCAGATATGCAATAGATGGAAAAACTCCTCAAGAAAACCAACTGCACCTTTGGTGGACTACAGAGTAGGAAATCCAATGGACCGCATTTATATTGATATAATGGGACCTTTGCCTCTTACAAATAAAAAGAACAGATATCTCTTAGTCATAGGAGATTATTTTACTAGATGGATGGAGGTGTATCCAATTCCTCATCAAAATGCAGACATCATAGCAGAGAAATTGGTTCACGAATTTATAGCTAGATTTGGAGCACCACTGGAGATTCATACTGACCAGGGAAGGAATTTTGAGAGCCAGTTATTTGTAAACTGCTAGAAATCTCCAAGACTAGAACCACAGCTTATCATCCAGCATCAAATGGAATGATAGAAAGATTTAATAGAACATTAGCTGGAATGATCAAAAGTTTCATTAATTCAAATGCAAATAATTGGGATTTATATATTAATCTTCTTTTAGAAGCTTATAGGAGTAGTCCACATCCTGCAACTGGACACACACCTAATTTTATGACGTTGGGAAGGGAAATCAACATTTCTAGTTCAATTTTGTTTCGTTTTCCCAAGGTTAAAGAATATGACAACGAGGATCAATATATAACAAGATTACGAGATAAGATGATGGAAGTTTACAGTATTGCACGAAATCACTTGAAGTCATATGCAGAACGACAGAAGCGTGATCATGATACGAGGATTTTCCACAGTCAGTATGAAGTTGGGTCCCTTGTCTATAAATTTGACAAAAACATTAATAAAAAATTTAAGTCACCTTGGGTTGGTCCATATAAGATTACAAAAATTTTAAGTCCTGTTGTGTATGAAATATCTCATAAGAACAAAACTGAAATAGTTCATTTTGACAGACTTAAGCCTTGTACTTTTGATTGACAAGAGTTTCAGAAAAATACTAATCAACTTGTACATGTAGTATAAGTTGATATAACCATTTAAGTAAAACTTTTGGTTAATTTTATGTATTTTCAGTAAAAATGGTTTTCCTTCAATATTCCCTATGTAGATACCAAGGAAAAAGGAAAAATGCTGTTGATCATTATTTAAAGGGACATTTGCCTGAGAAAGAAGTTCCATATTTTTGTGTGTTATGCAAATTCAGAGCAGTTAATAAATCTGAATGGGAGAAACATTTGCATTCTTTTCCAAAGCATATTAATGCTATTAATTCTTGTCTGACTAAATTATCAGATAGTGCTTACTGCAAAGAATCTAACAAGAAATTTGAGCTTGACATAAGTCAAAATGGTCAGCTTATACCCATTGAAAATGTAAATGTATGTGTTCGAACCACCCAACAGAGCACTAATATATCGTTATTAAATAATATTTGTTGTGAAAACAATGACGAACCCGTTCCTGAATATTCTGAAGAAATAGTGATTGTTCCTATGACGGAGGGAGATCAAAATATTTTTAGTCTAGAAGAAGAAATACTTCAATTGAAAGACACTTTATTAAAAGAAAGAACACAATTTGAAGATTATTTAAAGAAGCTGGAGAAAACTAAAAGTACTCTTAAAACTGAACTAGATCAAACTAAAAATCAACTTGAAAAACAGAAAAACAAAGAAAATCAGAAGAGTGGAGAAAAGGGAAGAAAAGACAGAAAAAGGACTTTTCAGGGACCAAAAATTCAAAGTGTAGTTGTTGTGCCAAAGAGAAGACGGTGAACTGTTAATAAAAACATTTTTAGTGACAATATTAGTAGAGACAAAACTATAACTTGTTGACATTATTTATTTGTATATATATTGTGTTTATTTTCATTTATATAATTTTTAGCATACTAGGTGTCGTGTCGTGATATCAGATTAATCGTGACAAAGCCAGATATATATATATATATATATATATATATACATATATATATTTTATTCAAGATAATTGAAAGAAATATTTTATTTTACTTTTATATCCATAAGCTCCTCGGCAGGTGCTTGTTAAAATCGTTTTATTGAATGTTCCAATTATATATCACATTTAATTTTTGTAATTTCGAGACGAAATTTTATTTGACGGAGGGCAGTGTTATGAACGTTTAATTATACTTTCATAGTTTTGTTTAGCCGAAAATATTGTTCCCGGCAAAATTGACAGTTTCCTATTTTGCGATACGAAATTCCGCCAACATGTGGCATTCGAATAACATCTTTTGTTTTCCAGTTTATTATTAATACTACATTTCCGTAGTAACTGCATTTTACCTGCTTTATATTCCCAAATCGGTGCAAAGTTTAGTTGTTATTTTATTTAGAAAACCTGGCTAATGTATTTCGAAAAGCTATTGAATAGAATAAATATCTAGAGACTAAAGGTATTGTAAGAAAGATTGAGAACAATCTTTACAATGTTAAACCCTGTCACAATTTCATCAAAGTTGTGGATGTTGCTGGCTGCTATCTGCCATATTTATTTTTAGATCATTTTTGTAGTAAAATCAGGCCGATATTCTTTCCTTTTAAATCGTTTCTCAATTTTGTCTCACCGCGAATTTTTGTAGCTTTTCATAAAATATGGTTTTTGCTCGTTGTTTATGCAATAAGGTGACCTGTTATTGTTCACATCTGTGCTCCATGCAAGTCACTTTTATCAGTCATGTATGCAAAGCAAGTTAATGTCGATTGTTTTATTCTGTTGAAATGTATTGGAGAAAATTTATATATTCAGAGAAAAAATTAGAGGCAACAGTTGTTATATCATATAAACTTGAAAATCACTTTAGAACACACCAATCAAATGCACTGTTGTACTTCGAACGAAGCGCCACCTGTTTGATGGGATAAGCGTATCCTGCAATTCTGGTATCGACAGATCTAATACCAGATATAAAAGAAAAGTCTCTAGTGAGATGAGTCACATATCAAAGTAAAAGATCAAAAGTTCAATTCGTTTTTTAAATGTATTTTATAGTAAGCATACTATGTTGATGAAAATAACCATTTTAATGCCAAATAAAAGCTTAATATTTTTGTTCTAATTAAATATGTTTTCTTCTGATATTGAACTGAAGATGTTGCCATTTCAAGTAATATGAATTAACGATTATTTCGAAACGCTTATAACAGTCAAAGAGATGTCCATAGTTGAAATAGGAGTAACAAATCCAATTGAATACAATTATTTGCCGAATTTTATTGATTCTGCAACGTTTGATTCAAATCATACTTCACGTCTTTTCAAAAATGACTAGCACCGTATCCGGACCCCCCAGCACAGAACCAAGACATGTACACACTGAGAAAATGAACACTTTTATAAATTGCTACTGTATACTGAAACAGAGTAGAAGGCCATTTTCTTATCTGCTTGCCTTTGAATCCGTCAAGAAAAAAATTTAAACAATTCAACTATTTCTTTGCATCTGTTATTCGAGAAAAAGGTTAAAATCAACAAATTTTCGTCTTTGTTTACACATTTTCAACTATCACCAGCACCGATCAAGACCAAATCACCAGCGGATAACATTTTATTGCAGGACAATCTTACCCACTATTACTTTGAAAAGTTAAATTTAAAAGGGTATTAAGTTTTCCTAAAAGTTTTATCATTGCTTGTGTGTATATATATTTTTTTGGGTGGGCTGTTCTAATCAATTTAGCTTATTTCCATACTTTTACTGCAAAAGAGAGACGAAAGATACCAAAAAAGGAAAAACAATCAAAAGACAAACAAAAGTTTTTAAAAAGTCAACATAGAAATCTCAGGTGCTCCACATGTGGCATCCGTCAATTTGCTCATGAAAGTACAATTTCGGTGATAAGTCTAATTCGGTAGGTTAAACTCGAGGAAAAGAGGACGGGATTGTGGAAATAACAATTCGAACATTTGCCCACGGTTTCAAATTAATAAAAGTTGGACATCTGATTTTGATAAATTTGGATGTAAAGTCATGATATCAT